AGGCACCTTCCCCATTAAGGGTCCGGATATTCCAGGTGCATACCCTTGCGCCTTATTATGCTAAAATTAATTTTATTTTAGATTCTAATTAAAATGTTTGCAATTTAGGTGAAACCTTGCAGATTTTTTTTAATTTTTTTACAAAGTTTGATCCAAAACCTGAGATCTACCAAATTTTTTTGAAATCTACAACATATTTTTCCTGATTCTACCACAATTTTTTTTTTAAGTCCGATCATTGATTCCTTTGCCCTTTCTTAAGATAAATTATCAATTTAAACATTGATGTAAGCAGCGAAATGTCTTATCTTGAATCACATACGTATATGTATACGTATTTTTCACCGGGTAAACAGAAATAAAGTTACGAGCAAGTATACCTGTGCGTCACCCTTTGAAAAACGCGGTTTTTGACCTTAAGCCCAGATTTTGAGGGTTTATTTAAAATTCTGAGTATGCAGATTTTACTGCTTGAATAGACCTACAACAAGTGTTAACCTCGAAAAAACTATATAAATTTTTTTTTGTCACACAGTGTAGTTAATAATCTGTATATCGTCGTTTAAAGTACAAAATCGGGTATCAACAAAATGCAAAGCCGCATATGTGAGGTTGTATAAATTATTATCTAGATAGTAAAAACACTCATATTTCAAAATGGTTCTCTTTTTTATAAAGCAATCGCATTTCTGGATAGTATATTTCAGGACGAATGGATAAGGATTGAGCCCAACAGCTTCTGTAAGCAAATCATAGTTTCATAGTTAATTATACCCAGAAATTAATTATAATTTTGTAAATACTTTTTAATATGTTCTTCTGCCGGCATAAGAACCTGGGACCTCATGAAAGTCGCACGTTTCTCTGCATACTCATCTACTGTCGAATACGTATATGTACATGTTTTCAAATGTGCATTTTGAACAAATATTTTAAAATTATTGTTTTCAAATAACGTGATATTTTTCGGTAGTTTTCGGATACGAATATTATATTAAATATTAAAATTTTACCAAAATTGAAAAAAAAGGTTCACAAGCACGAAATGGCAATACCGCCCAGCAATATTTGTATATATGTCACTGGCATTTGTCATCAAGTGGCAAATCAAATATTTGGTCATTTGCGTAATTTTTATTTGGCTTATGTAGCTGCATTGCGTTCACACGATTTGGCCACCAGGGTTGTTTTTCATTTGCCACAAGAAGGCAAATATTTGGCTTTTCTGATAAATGACATGATTTGTCTATGAATTTGACAAATTTTTAGCCAAATGTACAAATCATGTGATCCCAGCTTTAGATTTTGCCGTAAAATGTTGCGAATGCATGAATCAGACTCCAACTTTTTTAATAAAAATAATTTGGAGCGATGAATCATCATGCAAACGTGATGGTTATTTTAATTTACATAACCTTCACAGTTGGCAGATAGACAATCCTCACGAAATGAGAGAAGATCGTTCGCAATACTGGTACAAAATAAATTTATGGTGCGGTATTTTTAATTGTCAGCTCAACTCTCACAGTTATTTAGAGTTCCTTCAGGAACGGCCTCCAACTCTTTTAGAAGATGTACCCTTAAACCAGCGGCGAAGACTATGGCTGTAAAATGACGGGTGCCCTGCTTACTACGGGCGTGAAGTAAGAGCTCATTTAGACGAAACTTATCCTCGCCGATGGATTGGACGATACGGGCAAATCACGTGGCCCGCTCGATCGCCAGACCTGAATCCATTAGATTTTTTCTACTGGGGCTGTCTTAAGGACAAAATTTATTCAAAAACAATTCAAAACGAAGAGCATTTGCGGGAACAAATAAATGGAGCTGCTGCTGAGATAGCCCAATTGAGTTTAAGATCTCTAAAAGCGTATTTTCTTAAAAAGTGCCCAGGTTGTATTATTTATTTATTTATTTATTTATTTATTTGTTTATGAAGTTTATTAACAGGATGTTCTTACAGACTACACATATTAGAAAAAATTACATATTATAAAATATTATTAAGATTACTTAAGTAAGATTCAAGCCGATTTCGGAAAATACCCTTTGGCATAGAGAGATCAAGGTCTAGAAAACTAGAAACCGTATTGATTTCTTGCAAAGTTCTATTTAAAGGAGAATTTCGCTGTAAAGAGTTTTGCTAATAGCGACTCTAAACAAATCAGTATGCCGCAAAATTCTGCTAGGAACATTGAAATTAGAGTAAAAGGTCGCCAATTGAGCATATTTTATCACTAACTGAATACATTTTTCGGTAAACAACTCATGTATGTTTTATTTCACGTGAACCCATCCTTCACAAAAAATATTGATAAATATAGCCCTTGTTATTGACTCTAGTCCGAATTCCGGTAAGTAACACAAAATAATGTCAGGAGCAGGTAATAATGTGCCTTTGTACTATTTAGCATGTCAGTTGACGGTAACAAGAGCAAATTCAATTTAAATCTATTAAATACATTCTAGCGTGTCTCAGTCCTTTACACACAAAAGCGGCTCTAACTTTTTTTTTCTACACAAAACAGTAAGTGTGGCACCTTTCTGAAATCTTTATTAAATGAGCAATGTTTTTATGTAATGTAAAGTTATAGCTCAGTACATTTTTTTTCACCAGAGATAGTCAAAGTTGGGGAAGAAAATATCAAAAAGCTAAAAATTCCAAAATAGTCCTAATTTTATGATGGTTCCTTAATATATTTCAACTACATTGCATTTGAGTATGGAGAAGCAACTATCTGGAAGTATTTTACATAAAACATTTACTAAGTATAGCCTGGTTTGTAGATGCAGTTAAAGAAAATACATGAAAAGGAAAGATTTTTAGTTAATTAAAAAAATGTAAAT